CCTCAGTTTCTACTACACACCCAGGCCTTCCAGGAAGCTGAGTTCCAGAGCTGCTCTATTCTCTAACTCTGACCTCTGACTCCAGGTTCATTGAGCTGAGGGGTCACCAGCTCTGCATACCCCTAGAGCAGCCCTGGGAGGACCACATCATCCAGAAACTGCAGAAGAACTCTGCCAAGGCAAGCCCAGCCTCCCCAACCCTGCTTCCTCCCTCTGAGTCCCTGGCTAAGAACCCAGCCCGTGAGCTTGTGTCTCCCTCCTCCTCCAGAACAAGTGCCACATCAGTTAGCCCATGACAGCTCCAGAAGGCCCTGTGTCTAAGTGAAGGAATGTGAATCACAGCTGTCCTGGGGAACCAGGAACCAGAAGAGAGAACCAGACCATCAGATCCTCTACAGCCAGAACTGACACAGCCTGGGCAGGGCCTGGAGTATCAATGTGAGTGTGAGCAAGGGGGAGCACAGCTTCTCCTTCACACCCAAACTGCAATGCTTCCAGTAAAGCTCAACTGACAGCCACAGATCTGTCACCTGCTTGTGGCCCAAGCAGGACAAGACAGGTATGAGAGGAAGAAAGAATGGGATGGAGGGAGAGAGTAGATACATCCATTCTGCACACTTCAGCTTGAGGAACTTTAACTTCACTCATTTCTGGTCACTTTCTCTCCTACAGTCCTGCCAGCAAGCTCCCTTCCTCCCTCCAAAGGTCAGTTGGGACAGTTATTTCCAACCTCCCACACTGAGCTAATTGCTCTTTGTGGGCTCCATCACAGAAGCATATACTGCTTCTAGCCAGTCTTCCAGATTTATCATAATGACCTAATTGTCTCTTTCAATTCCTCCATCTCCAACTCAGACAACAAGCCCTCTGAGGGCAGAAACTGTGCCTGTTTTCTTTACTACTGTATCCTCACACCCAGCACAGTGCCTTAATGTGGCAGACACTCAATAAATATTTGTTGACTCAATGATTGTAGGAACAAGAGTCACAAGTAGGTAGGTCACAGCTCAGAGAGGAAGGGCTGTGACCATTTGGCCTAAGTGACTTGGCCAACGCTGCTCAGCCAAGAAGTATTTTCATAGCTTGGCCTGTCTAGACTGGGCCCTCTTCCTCCTCAGCTCAGGGCCATACAAGTAGAATGGGGCAGACAAGAAAGGCAATCATCTGGGCAGAAGCTAAGGAGATTGAAAGGAGGAGAAAGAATTGGGGAAAACAACACTGGATAGCGTCCCAAAGCTCTTTTCTTACTATTACTGAGGTCTCCGTCTCCCAGGGTAGAACTCCAAAATCTGACTCCATCCTTATAAAAGAGGGTCATCTAAGTAATAAATCCCACCTTTACCCTCTAGTGACAGGCCCTGCCTCCATCTCCCAAGGACATTTTGACTCCGCCTTCTCTGAAGAAATGCTCTAACTCCGCCCCTTCCGGGTAATAGGCAAGCCCCACCCCTGGTCCGCGACGGAGTCCCTGTGACGTAACGGTAAGGGTCTGTTTCCGGGGTGGAGCCAGGGAGGGCGGAGTTTAGGCTGCGCCGACCCCTCAGCCCCCCTCCAGGTGACACGAGCCCCCGAAAATCCTCACCCGGGGCCCCAAATATCCCAGCCCCATGACCGCAAAGCCTTTCGCCCTGACCCCCTAAATGCCTCAGGCTCCTGCGGTAACTGGCCCCCTAATTCCTTAACGCCTAACGACTCCAAAATCTTCAATCTCACCCCACCCCGATGTGGCAATTTAGTCTTCCCGGGAGCACCTGCCTCAGGTTACCTGAGAACAAGTCAGACTGATCCTGAGAATGACACAGAAGGGGACCGGGGGTTGGGGGTTGGGAAGTCCTTGATCCCATCATTTCGCTCCCCAGGAGACGTTCGGAGCCCGGGACATGTCGGGATTGAGGAGATACGAGGTGGCGCTGGAGGCGGAGGAGGAGTGAGTGGAGGCGGGGTTGTGCGGAGGAGGAACCTAGCGGCTCCAGGGTGGGGGCGGGGCATGAATTGTCTGGGAGCGGGAGGAGTGGGAGGGGTGGAGCCCCTAAAGGGGCGTGGGCTGTAAAGGGGACCGCCTCTAGGGGGCGGGGCGGGGCCTTGGAGAGCTGTCCAAGGAGGCTGCGGGGTCAGCCTCGCCCCGCCCGGCCCGGCTCTGCCTTCTCTCTGCAGGATCTACTGGGGCTGCTTCTACTTTTTCCCTTGGCTACGCATGTGGCGGAGGGAGCGGAGGTGAGGGGGCTGCGATACCGCGGACCCTCCTGGGGCAGGGACGAGGCTCAGTCTCGGAGGACAGGAGGGGGGTGGAATCCGGGAGGCCCCGCCCAGCCTCATGCCAGTGTCGGGTCGCCCCACAGCTCAGCACACCCCCGGGAGCAGAAGCTGGAGCCTCTGCGGGGCCTGATGAGCTGTCTGTCAAGCGGCCTGGGCCCTGTTCCCCAGCGCTCGGGTCGCGGCCTCCCCCGCCGCACACCTGCCACCACTGCCCAGCCAGCCGGTACATTAAAGATTTAAACTGAAGCCACTGTGCTTCCCTCCTGACTCTGCCGCCGCTGCTGCCATTTGAGCTGGGAGCCCTTCTCCTTGCCGGCTGTATCCTTAACTGACAGGGCCTCTATTCTCAATAGGGTGCCTTTCCATGTGTCCAGGTTGTGACTTGGGACTGTTGAGGTCTTTCCCTATAATTAATACCCCAACTTCCAGCTTCTCCAGTCTGATCCCAAGTTTAAAGATACAGTATCAACCCTCCCAAGAGTTCTTGCTACCTCCCTAGAAGAACCCAAGGCCACTGTTCCCTGTCATCCCTTTCTGTCTTGTCACCCAGTCGACCCACTATCTTCTAAAGTGCTCAGGGCCAGGGACTCCAGTGAGCCTACTTTGAGTTAGGGACAGGTTGCAGAACCAAAAAGAGCACCAAAGGATTAAGTTAAATAGTCCAGTTTGTGGACTGGGAGCAAAGCTAACTTTCAGTGTGGGGCTGCCCCTGCCACAGCAGGTTGTAGCTGAGGAGACTTGGCCCTATCTGTGGAGAAGCCAAAGGGGAGAGATGGGTACGTACCCGGAAAAATGCATTTCTTGCCTTCTCAGGTCTCTGGACTGGCTGGTCTGGGAGAGACCACAGTGTGTGTGGCAGACAGACAGCTGATGGAGATCTGTGACAAGACAATGGCACCTCAATTTCTTCACCCAAACTCTGGGGCACAAGTCCAGACTGGAGGGTGGGAGAGAAACCCTAAGGGCTCTGGTACTAGAAGTCCACGATGTCTCTGGGTTGTGGCCACCTTCAAAAATGGATCCAGGGTCTTGAGCCATTTATCACAATGTCTACATCAAGACTCCTATCAAAAATGGAATACCCTGTCCGGCCCTGGGCCTATACCTTACCAGGAAATTGTCATAATTCCTGAGTATCCACAAGTCAAACTCCAGGGAAGGGCCTTCAAGCCTCACCCTGGACAGGAAGGAGAAGCTCCAGTTGTTCAGCCTGAGAGATGGACTAGTTTTTAGTCTTGGAACTGATGGTCCCTCCTGATTGTTACAGCAGTCCTGCAGTAGAACAAGATGCCCAGCCAAGGTGTCCCTATCTCAAGAGAAGTCCTGACCCATAGAAGGTAGCACAATGGAAAAAGCTGCAGAGGCACCCCTGCAACAACCAGATAAGAACTTGATTCCTGGGTTATGACTCAGTTTACATTTCAAACACAGGACTTGAGAGTTGAAATCCCCAGACTAGGAGTGGGAAATTCTTCAAGGTGTCAGGGGCACTAAATTAAGCAGCTTGTCCCTGCCCTAGGCAGTTCCTAGCTTCCTGAAAATAACAGGAGGAGGAGCTCTGCAATGGGGCAGGGCAAGTAAGAGGAAGAGGGGAGTGAGGGCTGGGTTGGGATTAGGAGAGAATGGACAGGATGTAGATGGGAGGTTGGGGCTTTAGCAAGAAGATGCAGTGCAGAGGGTGTAGGGGTTGTTGATAGGTATTTCTGAACCTGAGTGGGGAAGGGGAATGTTCCTCCAGGCCCACAGGGGAGAAAGACTGGAATTTAAATAGAACAAAAGAGAAGTAATAGAACTCTTGAATCTGATGTCTCAATAAACCAGGGGCTGCACCTGAAAACCCCAGACCCCTTTTAGCAAGAGGCTGGCATTTCTGGGACAGGACAGGCAACAACCAAGATTTGTTGGTTCTTTTTATCTGTTTGATAGCAGCAACCTTACACCATAGAACTTTATCTTCCTTCATCTGCCCTCCCTACCCACCCCACCCCTCCTCCCTGACTCATCTTCCTAGGGAGAGCAGCCCCTACCTCAACATCTCTAAGATACCCCCAATACCACCAAAAAGGGCCTTCCCCAGCTTCTCTGAATGTGAACAGCCCCAGGCAAGACTGCTTCAGCCAGAAGTCCCTGCTTAGGGACCCATTCCCATCAGTTTTTCCTGATGAGATACGCAGGCTAGGGCAGGAAGTGGGGAGGGGAAAATGAAAGCAAGTTGATGCTGCCTTGCCCCCTGCTCCACCCAACCTACAACACCCCTGTCAGAATTTGTGTATGCTAATATGATTGGAATATTGTGAAAACAACTGTGCAGGAGTGAGACTTGATTATAACGGGGGCTGTATGATTGTCTATGGTTGTCTGACCATGTGAGGGTGATCAAGTGATTGAGGTGTGACTGTAAAGGTGTAGTTATGGGTACATGAGTATGAATGTCCATCACTGGATGCCACTGAGGATCCTTGGCTGCCCTTAGGTACATCAGTCACTGTACCTTCAGGCCCCATACCATGCACTATCCCTCTCCCCCAGCTTCTCTGCTCAGGGCTTAGGAGTCCATGGGAAATGGCAGTCCCAAAAGAGGAAGGGGCCTGTGGCACAGGTGTCTGTGGCGGCTGGGGCCCAGGAGTATCACAGGATGGGCAATACATCTTCACCTGCTTCTGACTCACCTGGTGCCCCAGGTAAAAGGCACCCAGATAAAAGGTAGGGAGAAAGGAGAAAAGGAAGTATCCAGGCTGAACAGCATGAAAGGGCCCTCATCCAACATCAGCCTCCTCCTTCTGACCCCAGACCCTGCAGCAGGTGAGTGCTTGGGGGTCTAGAGGACCAGGGATCTGGGTTAATGGAATGGAGGCAAAAGGGGCCCAGGAAGTCCAGCTTCCAGCTCTCTGATGGAGAGGTTCTCGGTCTGGAACCGTTTGAACATGTGGCCCCATTATTCACTAGCAGTGCTACCACCATCCAGCACTACCTGCTGTACTCAGCCCTACCGACAGCTACTCTCAAACAGGCTGCTGAAAAAGGTCTCCCAGGTGGAACTGCAGGAGGCTGATGGAGACTGTCAACTCCAGGCTTATGTGTGAGATCTGACCCTGCCCCTGATACAGAACTATGACTCTGACCTCAGTTCCAATCCCTGATGCAGATTCCACCTCCAGCCCCAAACTTATCAGTTCTAATGCCAACTCAGGTTGTCATCTAGCCTCTGCCTCTAATCCTGGGACCCTAACCTAAATCTCCAAACTATGACCATGGCTTTGGACCTTTCCTTTCCCAGACTTCACTTGGCTCGGCATACAGCCTGCATCCACCCACTGAACCGCAGCCTGGCTCGCTGGTTTGAGCGCCAAAGGAGGAGGCTCCAGGAGACTCTGCCCAACCTGAAATTTAGGCTGATAGGGAAAATGGGCCAGGACCCCCAATAGCCAAAATAATAAAGCAGTATTGAACAACGGTCTTTGGTTGTAGTCTCCAAATTCTATGCATTGTCCTGTGAGCCCTGAGTCTGACGCTGGGAGACATATCAATAAACAAAAGACCCTCCTCATTCTCTTTATTCACACCACAACCCCCACCAGGGGCAAGGCTAAGAGCCAAGAACCCACACACACTCCCCAGGTACGTACATACATACACACATACATCCATACAGAGAACACATGTCCCCTGCTTCACATACACATGAGCACAGATATACACATCTACACACAATCCGCTGGTGAACTGGCAAGTTTGGAACACAGTCTCATAGAAATGGGCTCCAAAAAAACTTCAGCTGAAACACCTCCCCCAATGAGGCTCCATTGTCCTGCCTGGGTTCTATCTGTCCGTCCATCCACACCGGCAAGACAGAATTACAGGTGAAATCAGCTGAAGCCTCCCTGGGTCCTCTACAGGTTTGGAGCTCCTAGAAAAAGCAGAAGGCAAATCAAAGGAGATTACAGGACTGGCTCTTGGCCTAGATACCCTGCGTACGAGGGAGTAGACCCAGCTCTGAAGCCCCAGTACCCTTAGGATGACTGGGGCCTTTGGCTCGTAATCCAGACACCCAAGATGAGAGTGCACATCTCCAAGTTCAAACCTCCTGGAGGTCCTACTCACCTGGAAGCTTGTCCACTGGAATCATTGGGGCCAAGAACCCAGGCTTTTGGGGTCCATCCTTCCCATCTGGTCTCAGCCTCAGCCTGGAGCAAAAAGGAAGCTGTTTTCCTGATAATGTGGGGCATCTCAGTCTTCGCCAAAAGCATTTATTAGTAAAGGGTCAGGAGAGGAATCTGAGAATCTTGAAGTTGAGGGGAAGAGGGAAAGTAGTTCCAGAATCAGATATGTTCAGTGGGAAGTCATAATGGGTGGGAAAGGATGTGGTCTATGGTTATCAGTGCCTATGTGGGATCAGAGACTGAGGCACCAATGACAGTCACTTACCAGAGAGCCAGTGCCAGGGCCCCAGCTGCCAGTCCCAGGAGAGAGAAGATTCCCAAAGATGCTATGACAGCCACCTGCTCCAGGGGGTCCCTATGGACTGGGGGGGGTGGGGGAGGCACATGCCACTGTGAGAATGAGCCTGACCAATCTTAGTGCCCCCTTCTCTCTGAGACTTTCCCATCCTCTCCCACCTTTGCCCATCTACCCCAGCTCACCAAGTGGCTGTGGATCTGGCAAGAGGGAGGGCCTTGGGGGAGCAGGACTGTCTGCCTGAGGCTCCTCCTCCAACTGTGTGTGTGGCTGACTCTCAGCTGGTATCTCCTTTGGTAGAGGCCCTGAAGAGAGGCAAGGCCTGAGGAGAATTGTCCACATGGGGAAGGGGCAGAGGGCCAAGGCCTGTCTGGCAAAGCCAGGGCCTGGATTGGACACAGAGGCACTAGAAAGTGGTGCCTGAAAGGGCAGGGCCAGCTTCTGGGGATGTAGCAGGGTGGAGACTGAGGGGCAGGGCTTAAGCTAGGACAGGGCTGCGGGCATCCAAGGATAAAGCCTGGGATGGCAATTGGCATGGCTGTGTGGGTGGGGCATGTGCCACACAGCCCTGTTTGTGCTATCCTGTCCAGCTGATAAATGCTGAGGGATGGGGCCTCTGCCCTTCCCCTTAGCTCTGTCTCTCACCAGTGCTCGGAGTGCCCCAGGCCTCAGGACTCCAGGCGCTCCAGGTGCCAGCATCCAGAAAGTCCCGGGCACTGACCCGCACAGCATGGGGCAGCCCAGCCACAGCATCTGTGATCACCTCCTCCAATCCAGCCGGCTCCACCTGAGAGTGAAGATGTTTCATCACCATCACTGAGTTATGCAAGTTGTAAATGCTGAACCTACCTGTCCCCCAGCTCCAGTCTGCAAAAAGCACCCCTTCCTCCCTATCCTGTCCCTGTCAGCCTGGTAGAGCCACCAGGGCCTCAGGTAGGGTAACTGGTAGTTACGTAGAGAGGCTGTGCTATCAGGCTGCCTGGGGTCAAATCTTACTGGGTAACCTTTGGGCTTCTCTATGCCTCAGTTTCTTCTTTTGTAAAATAGAGGTGAAAACATCTAAATGAGATAATGCATGTACAATGCATAGCTCAGTGCCTGGTATGCAGACAGCACTCAGTAAATACTGATTATTATCTGAGGCAGCCACTCCCCAGATGTGATTCAGCCCAGTGGTGGGAATTCAATATTACCTTTATCTGGGTATGAGTGTTTTGTATCTGGGTATATGAGGATGTGCCTCTGAGTGAAAGACACTTCTTTTCCAATTTTAGTATATGTGCTGCTCAAGCAAGCATGACACTTCTTTTCCTAGAAAAGTCACTTGTAAAAAAACCACTGCTGCCTTCCCACAGATAGGCTTACATCAGAATGACAGCCCCACAGAGCACAGGCTTAGTCTGTTGGTCCATGCTGTAATCCCCGCACCCAGGGAGAACCCTCGCTATGGGGAGGTGACAAGGCTTCAGTGATCTGACAGTGCCAGAAATCCATGCAGAATACCCAGGAACATGAAACCAGAGACAGGACCCACAGCTCCAAACGGGGACACCCTCCAGGCCTCACCGTAGACCAGGCGGGATGCTGCACTGGACGGTACTGCAGCCGGAACTTGAGCAAGAAGTGGGGCTGGCGGGGCCAGGACGCAGGGTACATCCAGCTGGCACGCAGGCGGCGGGGGTAGCCAGGTACTGGCTCTACCCGTAGCCCCTGGGGTGGGTCAGGACGCACTGAGGGTGGTGGAGACACAAAGTCAGGGTTCAGGACCTGCCTGTCATCCTTACTATAAAATAAGCTGAGATCCAGGGACAGGTTTTTGGAAAGTCTGCCTAGTGGATTAAAGAATGATTCTGATTTCTTTCCAAGGAAGATGAGTTAGCCCAAATTGGAGCCACAGCTTTAGATCCCCCATCCCATGTACAGATCAAGAGGAAGGAGGGGCCAATATTGGCTTCCACTGGACAGAGAAGACTAGAGATATGGCTGCCTTCAGTACAGGGCCTATAAGCAGAGAGGCAGCTCTGGGGCTAGGCAGCCAGGTGGGGAGCGGGTAGTAGCAGCAGCTTCTAGAGGCTGAGGTAACCCTGCCTCCTGGGCTCTGATCTCTTTGGCTTCTTAGTCTCCACAGTGGTCATCTGTGCACTGAAAGAGGGGTCTACGTTGGGAGGGAACTGTCTGGGCGCTCTGGGGAGTTCGGTGTTGTGATATCTGTACTCTGGAGTCTGTCTAGAGTCTCTGCAATGGGGATTTGGGGGAACTCTAGGGGCGTGTACTCACAGATGCTCTGCAAGCTCACATCCAGGAGGCGTGTGCTGGCCCCCAGGGGGTTCACCTCAGTCACATTGATCCGGTACTGGCTCCAGAACTCTGCCCCGTGGACCACACAGCATGCAGCCCCCGGGGGGTCCTGTAGGCATGGCCAAGGCCCTGGAGATGAACTCATCCTAGGAGAGAGGATGTAGTCTTAGGCTTTGGAAATGCTCTATGTGGCATTCAGCTAAAGCCCCCAGCCTCTCCCTCATGTCCTACCTCTGGCCATCAGCTCCTGGCACTGTCTTCTTCCTGGTAGGGAGGGAGCCATCTGAGGTCAGAAAGGAAAAAAGCGTCCTCCCTCTCTTTAAGGACTTCTTCAGGACCTTCCTCCCAGCCTCCTACAACCATACTGTGCCAGCACACCCAAATGTATAGACCTACACACCCCATCATGCACACACCTGTAGGAAGTGAGGTAGCGGGTGGGTAAACCGCTGACCTGGCTGGGACTCCAAGTGCAGGAGAAGTTCTCATAGTCAGCTGCTCGGCAGGAGACAACAGGGCGGGCTGGGGGGTCTAGAGGCAGAGGGTACAGCTGGAGAGTGAGAAGTCCCCAGTCTTCCCATTTCAGAGTGCTTACTCAGGACCTTAATTCCCTCAGGAGCCCCATGTCTCATCATTGCCAACCAATACTCCGTCCCCGACTCACAGCCCAGCTGCAGGGTCACCATGCGAAGTGCACCATCCGGGGTCTGGCAGATGTAGGTGCCCTCATCAGTGCTGTCTGCCCGGGCTAGGACCAGTTCATGCCCCAGCCCAGAGTCAGGTCCTTGGAGCAGCCTTGTCTCCCCATCCCGAAACCAAGACACGGGGGACCTGGGGTGAGACAAAGTGATGACAGACAGAGGGGCGGTTTGAAGCGTTAAGGCAGACCACACCACAGCTCTCCACTGGCTTCTCACTGCATTTGCAACAGAACCCAAACTGCTTTTGCTGACTCACAAAGCCCCTAGTGATTTCCCCCTTGCCGTCCATTCCTTCTTCATCTCCTCCCTCCCTCCCTTCACCTACTGCATTCCTACCCTGTCCAGTTAGTCTTTTTTCTGTTTAACAGTGTTGAGGTCATTTCTATTGAGGGCATTTGCACTGACCTTTGTCAGAAATGTTTATATCTCAACCTGTACCTGCCCGCCTCCTTCCTGACCTTCACAAATCAGCTTCAATATTCCTTCCTCAGAGTGGCCTTTCCTGATTACCAATAAAAAGGAGCCACTCAGCTATCATCTCCCAGGGCATTCTCTTTTGATTTTCTGCCCTGCAGGGATTACTACCTGGCAAGGTTCTTATTTCCTAATTGTCTGTCTGCCCCATTAGGATGTAAGCTCTTCGAGAGCCAACATCGTGCCTAACTTGTGCACTGCTGTATCCTGGGGCCTAGAATAGAACAGGCACTTAGCAGTTGCTCAGTCCATGTTGGTTGAGATTTTCTGTTGAATAAAGATGGTTTGAGGATTAGGACAGATAGAGAGGTGAGGATTACAGGCACAGGGGGCAAGGATAGGAGGGAGGGATATGAGGACCAGGCAGGGTCAGGAAAGGGTCATGAGTGTCATCCCAACAGGCAGGCGGGGCACTTACCCAGCAGTCACTCCAGGGCAACAGAGCGTCATGGACCTTCCAGGCTGCCCATACTGGACCCCTGTAGAGGGCACTTCTG